GGCTGCATTCCATCTGCTGTTTTAGAGTTCCGCGAGTGCGTTCTTCAGAGCTAACGATGCTCTGTTTCGCCCAACTCTCGACTCCTCTGTCAACAGTTGGAGATGTTCTCGCTTGAGTCTTCTGTTCTCCCTGATCAGGTGCCTAATATGGTGCGGTGCTGGACCATTTAGGTGTCTAGGAACTGCCGTAGTCTCGAAGCGGGTGCTGTCCTCGTGCGCTCGCAGGACAGCATTCTCCAGCTCCTCTACTGCGTTGTCCAGTTCCTCCGCTGATCGGATGGTTGGAATTTGAGTGATGTTCCTTTGGACGTTGGATTTGTACAGGTTCCAGTTCGTCCGTTTGGTGCTCAAGCTATCTCGAGTTCTAGACCCTGTGCCAAGTGTTAGTAGAATCGGATTGTGGTCCGACGATCCTTCCACCAGGGTCTCTATCTCGAACTCCTCTCTGATGTTGCGGAGGATGGCTATGTCCAGTACCGCAGGTCGCCCAAGGCCGAATGGAATGTAGGTTGGTTGCTCCGGACCGACGATGACCCCCGCCAGGGCATCGACGTGTTCCTGGAGCTGCCTTGCATTCCTGTCTTCGACGTTGTTGTTCCATGCCGGAGACTTGCAGTTTAGATCTCCGATGACTATGCGTGCTCCTGGGCCTCTCAGGAGGTCAGCGATGTCATCTTCGTCTAGGGCCTCCCCTGGTGGCACATATAGGGAGGTGATTCTGTAGGGACGGTGGTTGTGATGGACCTGGACCGTGATTCCGTCCCCATTTATGTCTGCGGCATCGTCGAGGACATGACTCGTCAAGGTACGTTTGACGAGTAATGCGACTCCTCCACCTCTGCCCCTTCTGTCGTAGCGGTACGTCTCGTACCGCAGGAACGTCAGACTATGGGCAGCATCCAACTTCGTTTCTTGGATGGCCATCACCTCTGGTTGGTACTGGTCTAGTATCTCCTGGATTTCTGGTTTCCGTGCCCTGAATCCGTTGATGTTCCAGGAGATAATGCGTAGAGATTCTACGTTTTGCCCTGTAGTCATTTCGGGTCTAATGCTTTTCTTGCATCTTGGCCTCGAGTGCATCCAGGCGGGTTATGATGGCTTGCATCATTGCTAGCAGTCTGTCATCGCCGTGTTGCTTCTGCGCAGTAGTTCCAGTAGCAGTGGCGGCTGCTGGGGCAGAAGTAGACATAGGTTTCTTCGCTTTTTGAGCGTAAGAAGTCCTATTTGTGGTGGGGACTGCTTTGGGGGTAGAAGCAGCTTTCTTCGGGGCCTTACTACATCCCTTGTAGTTGGCGGGGTGGCCTTCTCCACAGAGGCAACACTTGGCGTTTCGTTGCCCTGTTGGCGGCGCTGGCAGACTGCAGCTGGTGCCGTTGTGGTCCTCTCCACACTTAACGCACCGTTCAGCGAGACGGCAGTTCCGCTGTATGTGCCCGTACCGCTGGCAGCGGTAACATTGGCTGGGCTCGGAAGACTTTTTCTTCCTCTCGAAGCTGACCGTGAGCATGGCCAGCCTCTGGATCTCTGCAAGCTTTTCCGGCATCTTCGTCTTGACGAGGAAGAGCGGAAGTGGCTTCTTGGTGGTCCTTGAGGTCATCTGCTGAACCTCGGCGTCTGCGATGCCTTGGCTCACTAGATCCTCTTTGATGTCATTGACTGACATCTCCCTGGGAAGCCCACGAATGACCCTCTGGTCCATCCTATCCTCCTTCAGTTGATAGGTGAAGAAGGGCCGCTTGATGGATTCCAGCAGTGCGACTAGCTGACAGTAGTCAGCTGGTGTATTTGTGAATACCTTCACACTGGTACCCGCCGTCCTCGCCTTGGAGAATTGAATCCCCTTGCTGTTCATCATCCTGCTTAAGGATGACCAATCAGCGGTGCCCTCGATATTGATTGGCGGAACTCCTGTTCCTGCCATGGGGGCCTCGGTGGTCCTGGTTGCTCTAGGAGTCTTCTTGGTGGCGGCAGCTGACATCTTTGGCTGCCTTGGTGACTCATCTTCGGAGGAGGAAACTCGCACCCGCTTCCTCCGTCTGGTGGCGACACTGAAATCGTTGTCGTCCGTCCTCTTCTCGGCTTCTTCTTCTATTCCTTTGGTCCGTTGAGTGCCCTCTTCTTGGGCGTCCATCTCGTCCGACGTAGCCTGGTGGTCCTCTTCCTCCTCTTCTCCTGTCTTCTTTGCGGCCTTCTTCTTGGCCCTACGGAGCTTCCCGCTCAGGTCCTCGATCTCCTGTCTGGCCTGCAAGAAGGCTTCTTGCAGGTTTCGCATCTGCTCTTCCAGCATGGTGAAAGCATCCTTCTTTTCTTTCAGCTGGTTAACCAGCATCTCAATTTTTGCCATCGTAGATGGCAAACAACCAATCTATCGCAATGAAAATTGCAATAAGATTGCTCAATATGTCCGGGTGGGTCGCAGTCGCGTGCAAAACCGCCTTAACGCTTCCCTTTATGAGGCGATCCACTGACCGAAGGCTTGCACCCGTTACCTTCGGCGTTTGGAGGCCATAGAAAAGCTTAGGGATTATATAATTTTTGATGATTGTGAGCTTTTGATCCGGCTTTAACGGGGACCTTTTCAGGTTAGACAGCCACGATGGTAGGTTGGCGAGTGAGGGCCTCAATATCCCACCGACAGACGCATCGTGGCCCAGGTAGCGAAAGCTGTTTACTTCCGTCACCATGGCCACACGGCGCCCGTCGATCTAGTCATAGTTACTCCCGCCGTTTACCCGCGCTTGCTTGAATTTCTTCACGTTGACATTCAGAGCACTGGGCAGAAATCACATTGAGTCAACACCCGCAGGGGCCATCTCAATGCTTTGTTTTAATTAGACAGTCTGATTCCCCCGGTCGAAGAGGGCAGCAGAACGCCCTTGCGAGCGCACTCTGGGCCTCGCAGCAAGACGGTTCCGCGGGAGGCCAAGGCACGGTACCGAGTTCGGATCCGCAATCCTACCACACACGCGCGAACGCATACGACTGAACGTTTCACCTCGCCCAGGCCCGGCACGCCAGCCGCGACCCGCTTCCTCGCCAAGCCCGATACGCCCCGATCCTCAGAGCCAATCCTTATCCCGAAGTTACGGATCCAATTTGCCGACTTCCCTTACCTACATTATTCCCTGGAGACTGGAGGCCGTACTGCAATTTGGGGATTAAATGTAAGCTTCTGATCTGGCTTCAAGGGCGCGGTCTCTATGTTCCTTAGCCAGGCCTGAAGATTAGGAATATTAGCCTTATTGATACCAGTAGCGCCATAATTGTGCCCGAGATACTTAAAACTGGAAATCATGTTAATTTGCGGTATCTTCTCACCGCTAACACTAAGGAAGGACCTAGTCACTGCCAGGGGCCGCTTATCTCCCGAAGAGGTGACGGCACATAATGCGACGCACTTCTTCGCATTCAAAGCTAATCCCCTGCTGGTTGCAAACGACTCTACCTCACCCAGCATCAGAGGCAAGTCGGTAATCTTATCCGCTAGTACAACGATATCGTCCGCAAACCCCATAGCGCCAATCCTCATCTCAGAGTTGAGCGAACCGCCAGCCCAGTCGCGGTTCAGTGTTTCGAGGAGTTCGTCCACGACTATATTGAAGAGTAAGGGGGATAGTGAGTCGCCCTGTTTTACGCCCCGCCGGATATGAATAGGGCGAGAAATTTCTGTGCCAACCTTAATGGTGGTGATACCGTCGGCGAGGGTGCTCGCCACATACTCCACTATCCCCTCTTCCAGCCCAACCCTCCGGAGGCCTCTCAAGATGGAGGCATGCTGGACACTATCAAAGGCTTTGCGGAGGTCTACCGAGAGAACGTTATAGCTCTTCCCGGCATCCTTCCGCGACCCGATGTAGTGGTCCAAAATCAGCACGTTAGCCAGCGTGCCGTCTATCTTTACAAAGCCCCTCTGATGATGGCTAAGCTGGATCGCTGCTCCAATACGGCCCTGAACGATCCTATGAAGGAGCCGAAGCGGTGCAGACCCGATGGTAATGGGTCTATGGTTTTCGGCCCTCCGTCTATCACCATCCTTGGGCACCAGTATAGTACGGCCTTGTTTCCACGTTGTAGGGTGGATTTTGCTCCCAAAGATGGTGGTAAATACCACGCTCAACTCGTTGTTACTCATCTTTTTGACGTCAGCTACTGATATTCCATCTGGGCCGGGTGCAGAATTCTGCCAGTTGGCCTTCCATTTGCTGACGTCATCAGGTGTGATCGGATAGAACGCAGAGCGTTCTGATACTTTGGGGTCCGCGATCGGTTCGTCGTCCCCAGCGGGTAAGGACTCCCAGATTCCGCCATATAACGTTTCCACTTCCGCTAAGGAAGGGAGTTCGATAGACTCGTCATGCCCTGCCCTTTGAGCACGCGTACTGCGAGGCCAGATCTGTCCTTGGCATAGAGGTCCTGTGCCTTCTTGTACTCGGCCGCGCGCTTGCCGCTGCCGCCTTTGGCCTGATTGTAATGCCTACCGGGTTTACTGGCACCTCTCGTGCGATTGATGTTACTCCGTTTATTTGATGTAAACCCAACGGTCGAGAGCGGCCGTCAGTTCTGTGGAGCCGAGAAGCGCCATATCGATGACGCGACGGATCTCCCATGCTCAGGAAGATTGAATCCGCGTCGAGCATCTCGCAGGTACTCTACAAAAGTAGAGTTTATTTGCACCTTTGGTGCGAGATCTCTCAGCGGAAATGGAGGCAGCACTGCCTCGGGAGCATGGGGAGCCGCGGTCGTATTACGACCGGAGGGGTTACCAGGCCCGGAATGGTGAGCTGCGTTTTCACGCAGCGATACGGGTACTTTAGAAGGCGCTGGTTCTATCTATCTATAAGTTGGTCGCTATGACTGGCGACTACAAGTCTGGGTTCTTTGAACTTTGTTTGAATTGGAGAGTCGTCCTCTCTCCTCTTCATCTTGCCATCTCTATCATTTTTTGGCGCACTGTTGGAATCGGTAGCCTTAGAGCCGTCTTCATCTTAGCGGGGTTGAGGTCAGCAACTCTCCCTCATCCGCTTCTGCCTTGCCGATACCATCGGAAGCAAAGGAGACTCGATGTCCTGCGAAAGAGGCTCGTTTTCGCAGGAGGTTGGTTGTTTTGAAGTACCCTTTCCTTCGAGTACGGGCGTCTGGCAGACCGCGAAGGATTTGCTTGTAGATGCGGTAGGGAAAGAAGATTTTGATGGTAAAATCCGAGTACCAGAGGCCCGGAGTTGCTTCCGGGCGAGTTCAAGATATCTCTGATACTCGGGCTTCCTCCTCCTGAACCGCACCTGATCGACAGTGAGACCTGTGGCTCCAGCCACACTCTTATTTACTCTCCCGGCTGGTTCACGGGCTTCGATCCTCGCCATGATCTGTAAGATCTCTGGTTCTGGCAGAGGACCGCGCATCGTCTCGATCCCACCGGCATATTCCACCGGGTGTGCCCTCCGCTCGTGCTGTCGGGTGGACTTGAAACTGCCAAATCTCATTGGACAGTGTTTACATTGGAGCCTGTCTTCGCATGCTCTCGCCATCGTGTGCGTTCGTAGCTGCACTGCCGACGTAAAAGCAGTGTCACACGTCGTGCAATAGTAGTTCGGGGAGGACATGGCGCCAGTATTGCATGCCTTGGCGCCGCTGACGGGCTTCGCCTTTGATTTGTCTGTCCTTCCCTTGTCCTCACTCCCGCGTTTGCTGGATGCGGGTTGGGCCAGGGGTAGATCTGGCCCGTTGTTAGTAGGACCGGCGCCTTGGTCAGTCTCGCGCCACTGTTCTTGGGGGTCGCGGTGAGAGCGTTCAATCCGGAAATTAGCCTCCGCGCCATAATAATAGCACGGGCCCGACTCTCGGTTGGATTGAAAAATCCGGAACCTTCCCGGGTGAGCCACAAGTACACAAATATATATATATATATATATATATATATATGGTGGCAGTAAAACACCTGATGCGGACCCACACATCATAATAGTGGTAGCACTTTTAGTGAAGTTACATACTCTCTCGGGATATTTGGTACCGCGTTTGAATAACATTTTTTTCTTTCCTGGATCATCTTGTAGATTGGTTTCATCGTAATTGAACACGTTTGATGGTGGAATACCATCCAGAGTGAGGCGTAAACTATTAAAATAATCTTGCATGATTTGCCTTGACACAGAAGCTCGAGAGCGTTTAATATTTGCAGCTACCTTTTTCACGATATCATTGCTATATCTTTGAAGCATATATATAAACCCAATCATTTCCCGGGAGATTATTCCGAAATACGTCTACGTTACGTCCTTGGCTATCCAAATAACTTTTGGCAAAGTATCTTAGATCAGTTGTATCTTACGGAAACCCCCACTCTGCGCAAATACTTGCTGCGGAAATGATCGCTTTTTCTTCGCTCTTGGAAAATACTGTTTGCCCACCATTTTTTCTATGATGCCGTCCATGGTATTTATTATTTAGTATTCCAAAAGGTATGTTATACTCCCGAGAAGCTCGTCGTAAGCTCCATCCTTCTTCAGTTACCTTTCCTAACGCTTGCTCAACAACAGCACTACTATAGTCCTTGTACCTTTATTTGAAAACATTTTCAGAAGACTTGGTGATCAATTTCACCCCTGGAGATCAATTTCACCCCAAATTACGGTACCCCGTGTTCTTCTGGGGTTAAGATACATTAACATTTCGTTAAGTCTATGTTATACAATCTGAGGAGGTGTTGCAAGGTTACTGCTAATTAAACTAATATAATAACAGAGTTGCCCCACGATGTTTTCGCTTTTTCAATTTCGTCCTGCCTGGAGGGCAGGAACGTTTTCGAGTCCTCCGTCAAAGGTTTGTTATGAACCTGCGTCGCCTCCCTTAAAAGCGACTCCAAGATCCCACGATACAATCGCTCAACCTCATTAATAGGGGGAGTTGTTTCTTGCTCATCTGAGTTCCAGATAGTATGTTGTCCACTAGAGAGCTTCGATTTTTGTTATAGAGGTCTTGGGCTTTTTTAAAACCTTAGACCTTGGACCCCGCCCTGTTCTAGTTTGGACTTAGTTTCGTGGAGGGGGGTTGTGCCCCCTCTTCTCCCCCTTCTTACCCTCCGGCTGGTCTGGAAATTGTTTTTTTATCCAGTTATCGAGGAAGAGGCCCAGCTGCACGACAGCTAGCTGGAGACCCTCGTTACGCAACTCCACGATATACGCCAAGTTGTCAGTCATAGCTGCCTCCCCCTCGGTGACAAGATAATCACGCAGCTTTTGACTGACACGCACCTGAGTGCGAGCCGCGTTGTCGCTTGGTGGTCGCGTGTGGTCTCACGTGATCCTTGACTCGTCTTCACATATTTTCGTTCTTAAATCCTGTTTAGCGGAAGCAATTTTGGCACTGTTTCTTAGGTTACTTGGTCCCAAGCGGGTTTTTCCACGGCAGAAATGTACCACACAATCTGCGTTTATACCGAAAGACTAAAGTCGCTGAATTCCCGGTTTACTCGAGAAAGTCCCAGCGAAGATGGCGCGCGGCACGATTGAGAAATACATTGGAGATTCTCTCAACAGAAAAATAATAAGACAAGGCGTTTCCTTTTATTTTGTTTTTTGTCCTTTAGCAGAACATTTTCTCGTGTCCGCGTCCATCCAAGAAAGAATTAATACAATGCAAGTTATATGAGAGTCGGTCGGGAACATGAGAAACTGCACTTTTAAAGGAGGTGTCCGTGTAAGAGGGGTGTCCGCGAAGCGGAATTTCACTTTAATATCCGGAAAAGATTAATTTAGAACTTTTTTTATACTTCGATAAATATGAAAAGACCTCGGTTCATACGACCCACCATTTCACTATTTCCGTTTCCTTACGGAACACTTATACACATAAGAATTGATATCATCATCCCGAGACAATATTTTCGTTCTGCTTGATATGAACTTACTTTGACATAGCTAGTCAAAAACATTTGGTAGCATTACCTATATAAAATAAATTAATTTCGGATATCCCTGAATTCTGTTCAACCTCGTTATCCTTATCCACTGTTGACATGAGCATTACTACCTTATTTATTATTATTTTTTTTGAGTATGACACACCAAAACAAATGGCCAAGCTTGAAAGGTAGGTGGAGGGAGACGGCTGCAGCGGAATATTCGTAAGAAAAGACTTAAATATTATTCGGTTGGGTCACGGGCGACCACATGCACACACACACCCTCCTACCCTGTGCGGTCCCTCCACCACCCCTGTTCCAGGCAACCTCAAACCCTTGAGGAGTGGGGGGAAGAGCAATCTGCTCCTCCCTCCTCTCCCGCCCGAAGGCCTGGCGTGGCGCTGCGTGGTTCAGGCCGTTGCGCATTCCCCGAGTGTGTGCTGCCGAACGAGTTAACCCCCCTCCCCAATTTTGCCCCTTTTTCCCGAAATTTGACTCGATCGCGCACGCGTCGCGGAAGCACGTGGTGGACGTTTCTTCCAACTGTCGGTTCTCGACTTTATGGACGGCCTCTTTCTTGGGGGTCCAGATGAGCGAAATACGCCTTCTTGGCAGCCGGATTTTTCATCACCAGCGACATCACTTGAGATGCGTATCTGGTGGCAAAGTCTGTCAGCTCCTCGACGTCGCTGTCTTTGGCACTGCTGGCCTGAGCGGCTTGGGCCACTTTAGGTGTCCCAGCTGTTGTCGACGCATAACTACGGCCCTCCTGAACGGGACTACGCCTAGTTATGGTTTTGGGTGCTGGCACTGCTCGCGCTGTGCCCCTTGCTGTCATCTTCTTACCCCTTGGCCCTGCACTCGACTCGGCCTCTTTGGGCATCCCCCAAAGTTTGCGGGATGCTCTCCCCCGCAGTTGGTACACTTCGCGAGCGTTTCGTTAGGGACCTTACAGTCCACCGCTCTGTGCGTTCCTGCGCATCTAACGCAGCGCGGCTCTCCCGTGCAGTTCATTTGGCTATGACCAAATTGCTGGCATCGGTAGCACTGACCTGGTCCAGTCTTCTTTCTGAGTGCCTCCACTTGGATCACCATGTGGCAAACGGCGTTTATTTTGTAGATCCCCGCCTCTTCCTTTGGGAGATCTACTTTAATCAGCGGTATCGCTTTGCCAGTCCTTCTGCTGGTCATCCTATTCACCCTCTTTGGGTGGAAGCCTTGCCTGACCCAGTCTTCTCCGATCTCTTGGCAGGTGGTTTTGATGGTCATTTCCCTTAGTACCACTCCCTGAACCTGTTTAGTTGCGTCATATCTTCCTCGGAGCTTGCGGCTTCTAACGCAGCCTTAATTTTCCCAGCTAGGTCCGTGACCGCTTCCTCGATGTCTTTAGGGCAGTCATTCTGAATCAATGGTACGAGTGCGTAGTGCAGCGTGATCCTGAATCGCTGCCGGTCCACTCTCTTCACTGTTCTCTGTTCCACTGGTGTTGTCCCATCGCCCAAATGTAGAAAGATGGGGTTGTGATCCGAGCTTCCCTCTTGCCAGGCGCCGTACAGTGTGGGGTCGTCAGGACCTATCGTGGTGTTTCCAGGTTCATCTATTATTCTTTCGAGAACAGCACCATGGCTGTTTCTCATGGTTTTGTACCCGATACCTTAAGTTCCGTTTTTACAAAACTTTATATGGTTCAAACACGAATGAACACAGACCGAACCGGTATCGCAGTGTATGTTTCGCTGTGACTGAGATTAAATCCGTAATATAATTCAAAAGAGCTAGCAAAAAGGATTACTATGCTACTACAATTATATTAAAAAATGTAAAAAAAGTGTAAAAAGACACTCATATAACATGATTCGATATAGAAATAAGTATTTAAAGAAAAAAAAATTTTTGTCTATACATTAATTCAAATCCTGCGTCAATTATTGGACACCATTTATATCAAGTACAGTTGCATAAGCAGAATATTCTTCGGCAATTTCAGTTATTTTGAAATGTTACTATCAGTTTCGTTTTAGTGGCAATATCAGTACATTGATATGTAAAGTTCATTTTCCTATACAAAACTAAATTATTCTATATTCTCTTTTGTACACTTATAGGTTAAATATACAACTATTACTTATTTTATATAAAACGTATGTATATACATATTGTTATAAACGATAGGTTTAATTAGGTACTATGTACTTATTTATCAAAAAATATTAAAGGATCAATGAGCAACTTGTGTTTCATTTTTTTGTGTACAGATGTCTAAGAATAGGCTACTTGTATATAATTTATATGACATTTTCTGTGTTGCGTGCTGTAGCCTACTGGCCTTGCGCATCGCTGGTCGGTCATGACGTCACATGACATAAGTTCGGCCTTTGGACCCCGGCACTGACGCGGTCGGACAACACGACCATCTTTGCATATCACATTCATCCTTAGCGCTCAAGCTGACCTGTCGCAATATAATATTGATGTGCGATATTATAGCGGAATGTTTTCTGAGATCGCACAGGAGGTGTATGTTCATCATTTGAAATACAGTAGATCAATAAATAATATGGGGAGATGTTGGCGCGAAATTGTGATTCCTATTCGTTTCTATAATCCTGACGACCACAGGTCCTTCGTAAAAGTAGTAGATTGGAGTCTTGTTACCAGGTTCACATAAACGCGAGGAGGTATACAAACTACTGCTATGAGATAAGAACGACATTCAAATCCAGCGCATCGATACCTCTTGTCGTTTCTGCGATCCTGAAACAGACCTATACGATTCTGAAAATCGCATTGTCGTCCGGACTTTTCTCATAAATTTGGTGGACGTCACGTTGCTACCAGGATCACTGAAACTCGAGAAGAGATGTAGATCATACTCTGCTCATGCTGTGATGTTGGCGCGAAGTTTTGATCTTTGACATCTAAGCACTTACTCGGTTTTCCAATCCATCCTGAATATTGTAAAATTGGTAGATTGGAAACTTGTTATAGAGGAGATTTGTAAATGCTACTCTGCTCCTGCTCTGGGATAATCACGATATTCAAATCTATCGCATCTTGTCGTTTCTGCGATCCTGATACAAATCTATAAGTTTCTGAGATTTGCACTGTCGACCAGACTTTTTTCGTAAAATTTGTAGCCGACCAAGATTATCAATTTCTAAATTCGTTGAAATAATTCTTCATGCCGCCTACCCTTGTAAAAATTCGTTGTATCCATAAAATCGAAATAAATATAAAAACTAAGGACAGAACAAACACTCAACATCTCCAAAACAACCAGCGAACGCCAATGGAGGAGTTAAACCAAATTGATTTTTAGAGAACATAAATATACAA